TCTTCTAACCGTTATGTTTTTCTGCGTGTCTTTTCGGTTTCCTAGCTGATTTGACAAACACAGTTCTTTTATATTACATATTTAAGCTGTGTTAAAGCTGATTTGAGCCAATTTTCTAAACACCTGGGACCAAATCTAGCCTATTAATGTGATTAAGATGGATTTCAGGTCTTATAAGGTTCCTGTGGCCCCTTTTGGGGTTTTCCCAGACAGGTTTCCTCAGCAGATTCTAACCCAGACGTCTTCCTATTTTCATTCTCCTCAGTACGAGGGCCAGGGCTCAGAGCGACAGTGTGGCGTTCATATAGAAACTATGCAGTCATGTAATTATTGTTGATGGTTAAGAAAAAAAATGTAGGCTTAATGCCCAGTGTGACTGTCTAAAGACCAGCTCTGTTGTTTTCAGCTGCTGAGGTCATGTGTTCAGTCTGCTTCAGTCTTTCTACAGCAGCAGAGCCTCAAACGAGCGCTATAGAGCATCACTCAGAAGGATTACATGTAATCCCTGTGAAATTATCCCTTCCCCACGCCTCCCATGGGGTTCGGTTATGCTTGTCAGCTCTCTAGCCGTGCTTTAGTACCTGCTGTAGTCTACAGAGGAGAAAAGAGAGATTTTTTTCCGCTTCAGCTGTACTTCACCTGAACTGCGTTTCGTTTGGTCACAATAAAACCTGTGAAGGAATTTAGAGAGATGCAAAAATGTTAGTGTTTGTATTCCACCCTTTCCTCTCTGACGCCCCTTAATAAACTACCTTAGAAGTTCTATTTTAAGAGTTGAGAAATTTTCTATAATGTAAGAAAAAAAATGGAACAATCATCAACATAAAGTCTAAAAAGTTCAGGATTAACTTTGCAGAGAGCTTTATAACAGGATTGGGATATAAAACAACAGCTGCAAAGCTAACAAGCCATGGCATCCATCCTAGAAGATTGGGGACCATAGAGGCACCCAAAAGGGTAACTCTGGGGGAGCTGCAGAGATCGTCTCTTGTGGTTGGAAGGTCTACAAGACTTCTATTAGTGATACAATCCACCACTCTGGCCTCTGGAGGAGAGTGGCGAGAAGGAAACTTATGTTGGAAGAACGTCATAAAGGATTGTGTTATTTTTCAGTTTGCAACAAGCAACACAGATGATCCAGCAAACCTTTAGAAGAACCTTATGAGGCTAGAATAAATACTTTTATGGCTGTATGCCGATCACTGGGGTGGACACATCATGAGCACGGTGGTGGCAGCATCATGCTGTAGGCAGACTTGTCTTTGAATTTTAAGCAATTTCTTTTCTTCTTTTTTTTTGCTGTGGGTAAACCTGCCTTTCTGTTAAGGCAAAATATAGAAAACACAGTTAAGCCTTAAAAATACAGATTATTTATTTCTTTTTCACAAGCTTGTTCTCCTGAGTTCACAACAAAAACAAAAATGTTCTGGTCCAAATAACAGAATTTTCCTTATTTCATTGCAGCCTTGAGCTTTAGCTCCTCCTTTTCCTCTCCACTTACAGACACAATTAGGGTTGATTTCAGCCTTGAAGACTGGATGCATGACTCCATCTGACCCTTCAGCACACAGCATAGAAGTCTGATCTCAGATAAGAACCAAGTTTCATCCTGAAGTAGTTCTGCTTTTCTCTCTGCTTTTTGGACATGGCTGGTTTAATGATTCATCTGTTGGACACGGTACTGTCACGAGTCACTCATCCTTCATCATCTGCTCCTTAAACCTTGGACTTTGCCGATGCATTGATTTGTTCATTACATGCTGGACTGGGAAGCTTACTTTTAAGAGCTGTTGTTTTATGAGATGTTAAATGTTTTATCTCTATCATCTGGAATGTATTTCAAGTAGTTCTGAAAAGCATTTTAGGATCCATCCATGCCTAAAGTTTGATCTTATCTGAGCAGATAACTGCCTCCAGGATGCAGCCCCCATCCTCTTTCATTTCCTGTTCCCCAGCCGGGTGCCGTCCCCCGAGTCCTGCAGTGCCTGTGTTTTCATTTCCATATTTATTCTCCCTCAACAGAGGGCGCTGTTGTTTTTTGGTTGTTTGGAGCAGGAATGTAAGGCAGTGGCACAGTGACATCATTTAGCAGCAAGCAGCAGCTCCACCGGAGGCGGTGGGTGATTCCTCGCATTCCTGGGATCTGCTGCAGATCGTTCCCATCCTTGAGTTTTACCCTCCTCATTTACATTTTTATTAACGTCAAAACACATTCCTTTGGTCGGCAGTTTTCCTCCTCCTGCTGCGTTACAGCCGTTCTGTTTTTTTGTTTCAAATGTGATTCATTACTTTGGTGGGGTTTTTTTGAGAGCTGGCTGTTGTTGCTACGTCAGTATGGCATCCGGCCAGATGTGCTCAAAGGAAAGGGTTTGCTGTAAGCTGACGCTGGCCCTATGCGAGAGAAAGAGCTGACTCCTCAGTACGCCCTGCCAGGGCTGAAAGCCCCGGCTTCCTAAGAGACAGAGGTGGATGCAGAGATGCTGAGTCCCACGGTTATCCACACTTCCTGTCATCACCTGGTGTTGGTTACACTCACATAAGTGGAGATGAGGTTTTAAAAAGTGAATATCACACCCTATTCACTTTTTTTTCTTTTACCAAGAACATCCTCCCCAGTTTTTCTTTTTTGTTGTAGTTTTTTTTTCCCTCTCTCATTTATTGCTCCTTTGGTTCTCGACCGCAGCATCACGCTGTAATTTTGTTCTTCTCTCATCTTCTCCTTATCTCCATATCAACCTCTTCAAAAGCTGGAGCTGGAAATGGCACCAAAACAGGAAGCGGCACAGAGGAGCCATGATGGGGGGGGGAGCATGAGTCTGAAGCTTTCAGGACAATCTATGAACATTAGCCGCTTTGTTCTTGTGACTGATGTATTTTGGTTAAAAAACAAACATTTGCTTTAACCAGATTGCAGATTAAACCTAAAGATTTTAGACTGAAATATGAACACTATAAAATCACAGTATAAGCATAAAGATCTGAAACTATCTAACATGATCTAAATGCTTTCATTAAAAATAGAAGAAAAAAAACTAGTTCTGCTGCTTAAACTATTACAGTGTGAAACTACTTTAGTTTTCACACCTAGGGCTACATGCTAATAATATTTTGATTATTTTTTTTAATATGATATGAAATAGATATCTGCTTATATTCCTCTGACATGGGAGCTGGCTCTGAGCTCGTATGCCTGGCTGTGTTTCCTGGACGGGGCCGCCTTTTACAGCTGCTTTTTGTGTCTCTGCTTCTGTCTCCTTGAACCGTAATCAGCCTCAGCAGATGGCCGCTCACACTGAGCCTGGTTCTGCTGGAGGTTTCTTCCTGTTAAAAGGGAATTTTTCCTCTCCACTGTCGCTAAAAGCATGCTTAGTGTGAGGGATTGTATTTGAGTCAATGAGTCAATGCAATCAACTGGTTTTCCTTAGATAGAAAACTTTGATTCAATTTGACTGGATGATCTGGTTGAACTGTAAAGTGCCTTGAGATGACATGTGTTGTGAATTTGGTGCTATATAAATAAACTGAATTGAATTTAATTATAAATAACACATTATGCCACCTAGACTTGAGCTCTACTTTTTTGCCCCAAACTGATATTGATTATGTATAAAGCCCAGGGGAAAGGTGGCTCAGTCTGTAAAGCAGACGTCTTCAACATTTTCCAGGTCAAGGTCCCCCAAACTGATGGCGAGATGGAGCAGGGACCCCCTAATTATATATATATATATTGTCTGAAATTGTGTTGTATCAAACTGGTTCTATAGTCACTCTATTATAGATGGAGCAATGTAACGAAAGTAATTTCCTTCTGGGATTATTAAAGTATTTCTGATTCTGATTCCTGGTTGATGGGACAGGTGTTGTGAATGAAACGGTGTCCAGCTTGAAAGAGCTCTTGTGTGTCGCTGAATGTGTGCATTGATGACAGAAAGACATTTTCTGCTTCCATTTATCTGTTTATCTGTGAAAAAAATGCAAGGGGGGATATAAAAAAAAAAAAATAGTAATCAACCAAAACTTTAGCGACCCCCGTGCAGTGCCTCCCCTAGGGTTTGCTGACCCCCTGTTGAAGACCTCCACTGTAAAGCAGAAAAAGCCCTGTTCCGTATTTGATGACTGTGTTTTTTTTTGCGTTGAGGAAATATTTGCAAGAATATTTATCCGTTATGTCAGTGTGAGAAAAGGGAAGGAGAACTGCTTCTGTCTTCCTGACCGGCAGTGTGCAGCGACATAATCACTTGACTCTGTGGGCCCCTCTTTACAAGAAAGTAAACCATATAACTAAAACCTCCTTTAAATCAGAAAACTAGCAGATTTAAAATGTTATTGTTTTCAGTGTAACTGTTTATGTCACAATCAGGGCCTTGATGAGAATCTTTCAGGCCGGAATAATAAACAGAACTCGACTGCCTTGTTTTATATCTCTAATCGAACTGAAATGTTAGCAATTAAGTTTAAATCTGCCTAATTAAATAGACTATAAAACTGTTTAGTTAAGGGCCTTCATTTGATATTTGGTATGAATCAACACTATGAATGATTTGCTTTGAATTGTGGGAAACAAGTTAAGAAGAAAGAGAAGATGTGGTTCTTTTTCTGGCATCTCATCAAAAGAATTTAAACCTCAGGTTTAGTAGGAAGGAACAATTAAAACCAAAAGGTTTAAACCTTGTACCTTCATACTGGTTACTTGCCACTTCCTGTCTAGTTAGAATTATAACCGGTAATAAGTCTGACTAATTTTATTGTGATGTATTAGATGTTGTTTATTATCATTGCCTCTGGTTATGATTTGATCTCTAATTTATCTAATAAATGTTTGATCTCATACAAATGATTCTTTATGTAAATCCAGGTTGGTTTTTTTTTTTTTAATAAGGACCGCAGCATTTTGTACCGTTTGTTTTTTTTTTCTATGTATATTTCCTTGCCAACATTCATTACTTGAATTTCTTCTTTTTTTTTTTTTACCTTAATTTGCATTCCTGTCGTTCCCACAGGGCTTCCTGATCGGTGCCCGACCTGAAAATGCGTGCGAGCCCATCGATCCTCCCCCCAGGGACAACTTGACGGGAGCCTTCATCGTCCTCATCAGGAGATTTGACTGCAACTTTGACATGAAGGTAGCAAGTTTAGGCCTGCTGGTTTATGTGAAGTCCTCCATTATGAAGACGCTCACAGCACCATCAAACAAATGTGTCAAATTTAATGAAAACATGGTTTCACCTACTTTTTCCATCTGTTCATTTAACCCTAAGCTGTTTATTCAAACATCCGGCTTCTACAACGATCTTCTAACGTCAGGCTGCTCTCCTGTCCACTGAATAGCTGACACTGGGTCTTACTTTACTGTTTATCTCGATCAGCAGGTGGTGTTTTTGGAATTGGTCTTTGCTGCTCAAAGATCGCTCTTGTTGAAGCAGGAAAACAGGAAGTGGCCGTTTCCCTAAATACAGTTTCCTGCATTATTGTCCGGCTCATTCTGCTGCCTCTGGCTTTTCCTGGGGGGTTTTTATTTTAATGCTGCAGTTAGAAACTCTGTGAGTTTCAACAGACTCGCAGAGAGGGTGGTAAAGGATACTTGTGGCCTTTATGGGATATTTGTCAGATGAATAAAAGACTCAAGAATGAGGGAGTAATAATGTTCGGATTGTAAAAGGGATAAGGGAAAAAAGATTGCATTGGTGCCGCTTCTTTTAAGAAGCTTGGAAACGTTATAAATCAGCCCCGGGTGTGATTTATATTGACAGTTTCTAGGGAATTTAGTCATTACTTGTTCATTTGCATGTTGTCGTTGCCTCAATCCATCATGAAGAGGAAAACTAAATATGCGCTGATCTAAAACGATAAGTTTCCTTCAGAGACGCATCTAATGGACCCCTATTAAAGCTGTGCTAGGTACCTGGTTAACCTGTAGTGTCTTACCTACTGGAGACACATTAATGTTCAATAAGCCAAGCCAACCACCTTAATGATTCAGACCTCAAAGATTTTAATTCAGCATTCCATTAGTATCATTTACTTACCCTCAAAAGCTTCTTTTTTTAATAGTGTTACACAAACCCAGGTTTGCCTGCAGCAATTCATGGTACCATCTTCTTCTCTTCTCTTCTTGCATTAAAGCAAACCTTTTTTTAAAAGAAAAACTAGCATTTGGATTGCAGTTTAAAGCAAAAATCATCTGTAAAGATAAATATATTTTTTTCTGAGGCCCCGTCCACACGAAGTCAAAACGAACACGAAACGCTAATATTTTCCAAAACGTTTGTCGTAAAGACAGAGACGTAAAATAAATGTGATCGACCACACGATTGCATGAAAACGCTGCAAAATGTATGCCAGGCCTGTAAGTGGCGCTGTGGTGCCAAAGCAAAAATAGGCGAAAACAGGCAACGAAATGTTGGGCATGCGCAGTAATATTTATACAACAACCAAACCGGAAAATCGGAAAATGGCCCTGCGGGTCCATTTTCGTGGTTCAGTCAAATTCAGGTGCTGAACTATGTCGTCTATATTGCTCTGTTCTTCCTGGAGATATTCCAGAAGCAGAAGATTCTGTTGTAAGCCCGACAGCAGGGTGAGTAGCATGAGCAGCAACCATTCAACACAGTACCGCGCCATTGTTGTTGTGATACTGTGTCGCGCATGCGTGTTTAGAGGCGACGCTATGACGCATGCGTGTAAGAAAAAAAATGCGGTTAGAGCTTAAAGATGGAAACGCGAAAACGGCGTTTCAAAATCTTCCCACTCTGAAGGCTTAATAAAAAAAAGATCGTTTACAGACCCCCAAAACGCCGGCTTCGTATGGGTGAGAGGCTGGTTTGGTGAAAAATTTGTGCGTTTAGGCCAGGGTTTGACTTTGTGTGGACGGGGCCTAAGGGATGCATTACGTTGAATGCATTATGTTGAATTTCTGCAGGTTAAACCTCCCCCAGCTTACAAGAAATGGTTTAACCCTACTACTCAGCAGTCACTTTAAAAAAATAACACCCACCAGCTCAAACTGGACAAGTGGCTGAACAGGTCATTATCACATGCTATCAACATGTAGTTGACGTGTTGTAAACGTTTAGTTGATGTGTTCTTAATGCACCGTCAACATGTTAACATACATTATGTTAACTACGTGTGACGGATTAACAAGTAAAGGCAACATGTTGAGAAAACACGTGTTCTCTACATGTCAGAAGTCATTTTTTAACACCTTGGCTTCCCATAAAGGAGGCGTTGAAGCTAAAAATCACGTAGTTTGGCTGCGATGATGTCACGGGCGCGTCAAGCATGAACCAAGCCTGACTTAGATTGATCCCACGCCTCTACTCTCACAACATGCTCCTTCTCAAAGTTACCCTTTTTTTTCTCCATGGAATAAAATAAAGCTCTGATGTAGAAAATATTTTTTTCTCTTCTATTATATGGAACTTTCCAGATTTAGGTCACTTGTCTCATAAGGAAAAATAAAAATATAGAGCTTGTTATTTAATTAAATATTTTAGTGCACAAAAATCCGATAATGGTTACCGGTATCTGTTTTGTAGTTTTTGTTCACTTACTCCTTGCATATAATCTGAACTTTGCTGCTGCCAGCCCGGCCCAGCTACGGCTCCAGCGTCAGCCAGAGAAAAGCTTGACGTGGGTTCTTGCTCTTTTTTGGGGATTCTAGCTCAGAACTCCTAATCGGTCTGCATAGATATCCTTTCCCATTGTCAGGTCTAACACCTAAAACACTGTAAAACAAGGAAAGAAAGGCACAGAGTCAGAATTCTTTTACTCGCGAGGATCGTAGGAAGAGACTGCGGAGTTTACAAATCTCTAACCCACTCTGCCGGTCTTCAGCTTTCTCCTTGCTATTTATTAAAGTCAGAGGGGGGGTCCCTAGTTACACAAGCTGAGGTATAGGAAACAAGAAATACAATTACATTTGTAGCCTCAGTGAAGAGGTCAATTTGCATTTAAATGTCTTGCGGTCAAATGGTCTGAGAACCTCCTGGTTTCGTTAAGCTTGAGCAATACTTCCTGAGAGTTGACCTATACTGCTTGTGCAACACCTCTCTGGAACAGTAATATTTCACATATTATACATCTTAAGAACAAACATTAGTATCTTATACATAATTATTCCAATACCCATCTTCGAAGAGCCCTACTGTTTCCTGGTGTTTCTCCCATGTTTAATTTGGCCATGTTAGGGTGAGTTGGTGGGTTTGATCTTATTCTGAAATTCACTGTGACTCTTTCCTGTCTGGTGCCTGACTTTTCCTTGGAGTTGAAATGAATCCGTAGCATCGTTCGGACAAACTCTCTTCTTGTAGAAACGTTCCGTTGAGCTTCACTTTCTCTGTAACCTCAGCCGCACCGCGGCGAATGTGGGCGACTAAGTTGATGTGAATGATTTGGGTCCTCTTGGCGTCCATACTGCAGCCGCTCTGCATTCAGTGTGAACCTGGCATTAATGGTGTTTAGATGAAGGCAGCTACTGTTGAGCTACACTTCATACCTGCTGTAGCAGCAGTGGAAGGTTTGCTCCAGCTCTTCTCATCACAGAGGCAACATTTAGGGATTTGTTTTCCAGCATAGGGGCAACAGATCCAGTTTTTAGCTAGTTTGATTATTCCACAGCAAGAGACCAGCTGGGAGTAAATATATCACTTTGTTTTCCAGTAAACTGCACTTAGATTCAGAGTTTATGTATTACATTTTATTTCTCATTATTGTTCTAGCCATGATCATTTATTATTAGTGTTATAGTTTGTGAAGCTTGGGTTGTGTGTGTGAGCTACTCTCCAGGTTTCTTCCCTCTTTCTCTTGTCGGCGTTACATTTTCCATGTCTCTTCACTGCGTTTTATCCAGGATTCTAACATTTCTCCGTTTTTATTTGCCGTCTTGCTGCTCCTTGTCTTCTCCGTCTTGCTATTTCTTTCTTTTTTCTCCCCCTCTGTTGCAGCCACATGGCCTTATAAGGTTGAACTGCATCACAGAGCCAGAGAAACATGTTGACAGACTGGGCAGAGATGTGTTTCCTGGGCTGGAGTGTAACCAGACTCCACATAGCTGGATGTAATACAGACACACTTTGGGACCCGTCTCTGATTGGCTGTTTGACCTTCAGCAACTTTGATGTGATCAAGTTGATTCTGATTTTTTTTTTTTTAGTGCTTTTAAAAATAGTTTCTCTCTTTTTTGTTTTGGGACTAACATAAATGACTGTGAGACTATTAATATAAGATATTTGTTTTAGCTGTGCCCTTTGTGCATTGTAAAATTCGTTTTTTCTGGAAAAAAATCTGACTTAAGGTTTTAGCAAACTGGTTGGCCTTTATTTGTTCGGTATGTACGGGATTAAAAATCCTAAATATGCTGATTTCAATCTTGTATACTAAGCATGCTTGAAGTTGAAGAAACTAAAGCTACACGACTATATCAGTACAGATGGACACAGTGTTTTCAAGGTTGTAACAACTAAAAAAAGTATTTTTGCTCCCTCAACCTTGAAGTCTGACCATTAAAGCTTAGACCATCTTAAACTTGAACAATCCCTTCTGTATTTTCTTATCAGGGTGTTTATTAACGAGGTTAGTTTTTGGCCTGATCTCTCGATTCCTGACTCTTCCTGAAATCCTATGTGTTGGATATGCTGTAGGATTTCCAACCTGCAGAGTTCAACATGTTAAGTCTTCCTCTTGAAAGTTGAATCTGCTTCCAAAGTCTGATCCAAAACCGTGCATGCTCTGAACATTTTTCTGAACATTCTGAACAAAATTTCCTATGTAGTTATAGTTAAAAATATATCAAAGGATTGGAAAACTGAGGAGTGAATGGAACAATTTTATACCTTTTCTGGATCCTATTTACTCAAAAAAAAAAAAACTAAAAATCATCTAACTGTCTTGTACCAAATGGTGAATTCAGCAAACATTTAAAAAGGAACTCTGGTTCCATAAGCCAAAATTTGCTTAAAGGTTTTGTGGAGGACTTTCGCAAATTTTTCAAAAGACCCGCCCTCTCCACTTAAAAAGAAATGCGCATGCCAGAGCGTCAACGAGCCCATTTCTCCTCGTGCTCACTAGTGCTGGACGATATAGAAAAAAAGCTTATCGATTAAAAAAAATGCATATTGATCGA